TTAATAGAAGAAATTTAATTTAACTATAGCTGTAACTTATCAAGAAACTTGATTTGTATCTTGGAATAAAGTATATAATATAATTAATTAATCCTGCATTATAATTATATATGTACGATTAAGCAAGCATACCTATTGCAAGACGATTATACGTTCCAGGAACAAGTGATTGATTGGTTACAGTATTTAAATAATTAATTAATAATTAAATCTAGGCATGAATGGAAATACATTGCTTTATGAATAGGTATCAATTTGGACTTACACAAAACCTAATAAAATCCACTGTTGTTTTGGCAAACTAATGGCAGCATAATAATGTCACATTAATTATTTGGCAACATAAAAAGACCTAACAATAAAACACGAAATAATGGATACTGAGTCTGTAGCAGCAATAGCTTTGCGCCTACTTGGTGTTCCATAGAAATATATCTTGGCCGAACTTGTTCGCGGCCGAACCGGTCCTACACCATTCTAAACCTACTTGACCTAGGCCTATTCCAAACCATTTAACTACAATGTACTGCATTGTTGAATGCGTCATCGGCGTTCCATACATATACACGCATTGGCGGCGGTTCTGGAGGGCGGCCGCTATAGGTAGCGGCCGATATGGGCCTAATTCCTTCACAGCCCCTCCCGTTTTTTCACAAGTTGACAAGATGAAGATTTCTCTAGTTCTCGTTGCAGTTGCTCTATTTGTTGCTGGAGGTAAGTCTAATCACGGAGTTCTTTAACTAATCTTTTTTGTAAGTTATACAGAAGACTTTTGTAATACTATGTCTTGAAACATTCTTATTATTTCATTCAGACTACATAGATGTATAAAATACCTTTTTCGTTTCACAACCAACCCACTATCATCAAATTTCAATTTAATACACTTTAATATAATGCTAACAAATCCATAAATTAATAGTTCTAAAAAGTTACAAAAAAAGGAACAATTCAATATAATGATAGAAGGAAGGCTATGGTATTGAGTGAGTGAGAGTATGCATTCAACTTAAACAGGAACTGAAATACTTAAAAAAATAGAATATTTGAGCCAAATTTTTCCACCCCGGCGAGTTAATATAGGCATATATCTTATTACATTACATTAGAAATATGAATTACTATACAGATGTTAAAATAAACTATGATAAATATAAATGATAATAATTAGGTATATATGATTGTATTAAGCATTGATTTGGGTGGCTTGGTGTATTGTATTTAACACAATTAAATTAATGTACTAAGTTTATATTTTATTACATGTTTTAGGTTTTACCATTTAAAATGTATGATTAAACACAATAATGTACTTAAAGTTTGCAAATCCGTAATCAATTCGCAGTACACTATATTTACATAATGTACCGGTAACACAAACCGGTTAATTTTTCATGCAAATATATTTTATTCATATCAGCTGATATATTATTCATGTTTCAGTAAGTAAGTAAGTAAGTAATTATCATAATTGCTTAACGGAATGTAAATGTCTGATTACTAAATGCATAGTGCTAAATGCAAAAGAAGAGTCATCAATTTATCATTTGACACTTTTAGTGTGTATATATAGGAATAGCGTTCAAAGAGGCCATGTAAAAAAAAGAGTTGTTGATCGTCATTTAAAAAAAGTCGGTAGGGAGAGGTTTTTTTTTCAATAATGAAACCACCTCATTGATACATTCCAAGTCTTCAGATCTCCCATGGATTGCAAGGCCTCAAGCAAATGGTGGCGGACTTTTGACAGATCTTCCAGTGGAATGTAAGAATGGCCCCAGAAAAAATGGCCCCTGAAAAAATGGCCCCTGAAAAAATGGCCCCTGAAAAAATGGCCCCGGAAAAAAATGGCCCCGGAAAAAATGGCCCCGGTAAAAATGGCCCCAGTAAAAATGGCCCCAAATGACAAGTAGGTAAAGATGGCCCCAATGAAAAAATTCAGTATTAGAGATGATATTTTTTTTAAATCTTCAAATATTTAAATACTCTAATAAGCAAGAATTGAATCAATAAAAAATACAGTTACACAACAGATGCAAATAATGTACTGAGAGATTATCAGAAAACAACGGCTATTGAACATTTTTTTATAGTTGAAATAAGTTTTAAAAACGTTATTCCACTATTATGTATGTAAAGGAATGACATACATACAGTCTGTCTCTTATACACATCTAGATGTGTATAAGAGACAGCATACATACAGTACTTCAACTACCAAAATATGCAACTCATAGATAACCACAAAATTCACTTTTGTTAAGTATCAAATGAAATAAATTTACATGTTATAAACAGTGCAAATAAACAGTAGTTAAAGCATGTGGATTAAATGTGTCTTTGAATGACAAGTTCATGTATGGGAAAAGGGAGGCTTAGAGTTACTTCAAAGAAGTATTTGTTAATCAAGTATTGTTTTTAAATTAAACTGAATAATTAGGAATACATTTATTGCTGCGAAGCAGCCAATTCATATTCTTGACAGCAATTTGATCTCTGAAAGGTCATTGTTTGTCAAAAAACCATCGCCTAAGACAACTGAAAAGCGGAGTTTCCTTCTTCGTTCTGCCGGGTAAAATCAATTACCTGTCTCTTATACACATCTAGATGTGTATAAGAGACAGGAGTGAGTGAGAGTATGCATTCAACTTAAACAGGAACTGAAATACTTAAAAAAATAGAATATTTGAGCCAAATTTTTCCACCCGGGCGAGTTAATATAGGCATATATCTTATTACATTACATTAGAAATATGAATTACTATACAGATGTTAAAATAAACTATGATAAATATAAATGATAATAATTAGGTATATATGATTGTATTAAGCATTGATTTGGGTGGCTTGGTGTATTGTATTTAACACAATTAAATTAATGTACTAAGTTTATATTTTATTACATGTTTATAGTTGAAATAAGTTTTAAAAACGTTATTCCACTATTATGTATGTAAAGGAATGACATACATACAGTACTTCAACTACCAAAATATGCAACTCATAGATAACCACAAAATTCACTTTTGCTAAGTATCAAATGAATAACTTTACATGTTATAAACAGTGCAAATAAACAGTGTAGTTAAAGCATGTGGATTAATTGTGTCTTTGAATGACAAGTTCATGTATGGGAAAAGGGAGGCTTAGAGTTACTTCAAAGAAGTATTTGTTAATCAAGTATTGTTTTTAAATTAAACTGAATAATTAGGAATACATTTATTGCTGCGAAGCAGCCAATTCATATTCTTGACAGCAATTTGACCTCTGAAAGGTCATTGTTTGTCAAAAAACCATCGCCTAAGACAACTGAAAAGCGGAGTTTCCTTTTTCGTTCTGCCGGGTAAAATCAATTACTTTAGGCGACGTTTGGAGATAACCTACTCGTACGGTTACCAACGTCGGCATGTCGCGACGCTGGAGTACTATTCAGCGTTTTTACTATATTTCTAGGTTTCTATTTCTACGTTTAATCGGCTCATGTCTCAGCCACAATATTTTGAGGCCAATATTATTTACGAACCCATTTAAACTTATTTACTAGCCTACTTCAACGTGCTAATTATTACATTTAGGCGACGCTTGTTGTAGACTGTCATAGTTTTCGGAGGAAATAAATACCATTTTATACACATGCGCAGATCGATTCGCCAGCAGCGAGTCATCGCCAGCAGCAGCGAGTCGCCAGCAGAGAGATGTCACTGCAGCAAAACACTATTGTAACACGGTACCAACGCTGTTCTAATGTAGACAATGAGTCGTGCTCATATTATTTGTTATATTTTTATTATTCATTATTTTCACTTGACTCGCATAAATAATTTTGTTCGAAGAACATTTTATGCAGTTGTACTTCGCAGCACTTCACTTGCAATTTGCAATTTCTAGTTTAAGCAACTTATTTAATTACATACTTGGTTTCTACTCCCTGCCAAGTAAATTTAAGTGCACTATACTAAATAATGTAAAATGAGATACTATATTATACATAGTTATGTAAATATGGCAATTATGCTAAGAATTAAAATGGCGTGTAATTGTGAGGGTAAAGTAATTATAGGATCAAATGGTATTGCTAAATCCCAAAAACCTCCTAAAACACACTATTCAATTGTGATTGACTCACTTAAGTGACTTACCAATTGGTATATCAATAAGAAAATTAAATATTTATAAGAACCTATTTTTTGGTTAAAATGTTGATTTTTTTTTGTGAAAAAATACTTGCAAATACATCACAATCCTCCAAACAGACTGCGAACCCCATCCAAACCCTTTAATTACGATTGTAGAACTCTCTTTTTCTAAAAAAAAAAATAATAATAATTTGATGTTCATATAAACTCATTGTTTGTGGGGTTTACCAATACCCGGATTGAATTCCTGGAAAATTGTGATTCCGCTTCCTTGAAATTGGCCACAAATGAATTATTTTAGTATTAATAAATGCATGATTTATGTTGATTTATTGATTATGTTGTTACTATTTTTTAACATTTAAATGGAAAAAAAATGGCTTTTTTTTTATCTTTGAATATTTTATCATTGAATATGTAATTTCTGCAAAAAGTAAAATGTAAATGGCAATTTATTTGATGTTAGATTTCTTTTAAAAACTAAATTATTTCTGTTTAAAAAAATGCATATAATGATTTTTTTTTAAATCAGTTTTAATACAGAATTTTATTATTGCGGGGCCATTTTTACCTACCTGTCATTTGGGGCCATTTTTACAGGGGCCATTTTTACCGGGGCCATTTTTTCTGGGGCCATTATTTCCTGGGCCATTTTTTTCAGGGCCATTCTTACCGTACACCCTTCCAGTGTAGTGTTTGATCAGGTGGAATTTAGGCGGTCAAACAAATGAAAGACAAAATGATTACACAAAAAAGCCTAGGCCTAGCCGAAGTTGAATTATGAGTGGAAAGACGATATCTTCGTGAGTTTGGGCGAAAATAAAAAAAAAATGTTTGGGGTAGTGTCTTTATGTAGCGAGGGGACGATCAACAACTTATTGTTTTACATAGGCCTATATAATATCATTGAACACCATAGCCTGCCCAGTTTGACATACTGGCCTTGAATTGTAGCGTGCTGCTTGTGCAGCTTGTCGATCGTATCATGGATAAAATAGTTTATCGTAAAGTGCCTTCCCTTCCTCCTAATTTAAAGCTCTGTCCACCAGGGGTGGCGCCAGGGAGGCGAGGTCTCCGACGGGGGAGGGGGCCGGTTCCCCCGACCAAGTGTCAGATTTCCCCGACGAAAGCAAAGTGGGCGTGGTCGAGCTTTTGATTAAAATGTTCCGAAAGTGGTCCTGGGGGCGAAGCCCCCGAAAATTTCGACAATTTAGGGGTTTCAAAGGCTTATTTAATCGATTTTAGAGTCTACTAATATGTAAAAAATACATATAGGCCTAATATTTTTTTTTATCTCCGACGAATTGTGGTTTTTGTCCCCGACGGGGGTGGGGAACAGCTCTCCCCAACGGGGGCCCTGGCCCCCGGCCCTCCGCTGGCACCACCCCTGCTGTCCACACTATTAAATGTGCCTATATATATGTCGTTATTTGATGTCATCATGACCATATATAGGCATGCCACATGCTTTTGTCAAATAAAATTTGATAATCTAGTGAGAGCTTTATTGTATCTGGTACTTTAAAATACAGTAGATTGTTCGTGGTTTCACAAAACCATGCCTCCATGTTTAAAACTAACAAATAATTGGGAGAAAAAGAAAAGACTACTTTTCTAGATTTAAATGCTAAACTTATACCGTTACCTGGAATTTAGAAACATTTATCAACCAAAATAAATGATAGGGAGGGAAATTTTTGGCGATAAACTCTGGAATTAGGCCTGGGCCATAGAGCAGTAAAACATGATTTTCAAATGTCACCGTGCGTGGGCAACACAAGCATTTTCTTGTCAATCATCACTCCATGATCCTGAAGAGAGGGGAGTCTTACTTCTATAATTTGAAATGGCACTTTCAGACCTAAATTTGATTAATATTTTCTTCTTTTCTCAATTTTTTAAAATAATTTAGTGGGGGGGGGGGTGGAGGGGACTCTCTACCTCCTCTTGAATCTGCCACTGCCCACAATTAATAATCAGCCAAACATACGGTATAGATTAGTGTAATCTTCATTGCCTATGATTTCAGCTAACGCTCTTAAATGCTATTCGTGTGATGATTGCGATAAAGCTACTAACAGCATTGAATGCCCAATGGGAAGTGATCGATGTGGACTACAAGTGCTGAAAGGAAGTAAGTCTTTGTCTCTTTGTATATAGGGTCTGTGTCTCAACATTTGAAGATGTTCTAATAATGGTAACCTTTTTTTTTAATTAAATTTAATTGATCTGTTAAATATCAAATGTACTGTACCTCTAAGAAGCAAATTGATGTTATAAATGTTTATATTTCTTTAATTAGGTCTACTTTATTTCATGAATATTCATAAATCAGGGTCACTCACCTTTAAATCCTTCTCTCAGGAAAAGGTTTCCAATCGAGGCAGCTGTATGTTAATAATAATAATAATAATAATGATAATGATAATGATAATGATAATGATAATGATAATGATAATGATAATAATAATAATAATAATAATAATAATAATAATAATAATAATAATAATAATAATAATAATAATAATAATAATTAACATGTATTGAAATAAGCCTCTTATGCGCTTTAAATTATTAACCGGAATCAGCTCAACATAAATACGGCACATCACCCTGTCAGGGTTTTGATTAATGTAAATGGGGAAGTGAATTGGGACCGGGTGTATAGAGACACTAAGCTGTGACAAAGCTGAGTGCTGTTCAAGCTTTACCCAGAAACACAAGTGCGGTGTAAACTTTTCTCAGACCTGTAAGCGGTTTTTATGCTTTGGCGAAAACCTTTTTCAAGGGAACGTTCTCTGAAAAACCAAACTTGCTTTCCAATTGCCTCAAAACCCATTAAAACGATGAGTTGGCTATATCATATAGGAACACCCACAAGGAATCCGGGTTACAAGCCCGACCCGAACCCCTGTCTTTAAACTCTAATGATTCTTTAGGATAAATAATGAGCTTAAGTTTCCTGTCTGCAAAGTGGGTTAAGCTCAAAGTTTCTTTTGACAAAACAACTCATAGTCATGATGTACCATATGGTCACAGTGTGATGTCATCATGACATGATTATTTAGGCACGTCACATATTTTTACTATATAAATAAAATTTGATAGTCAGGACTTTAGACATTTACATCATTATTGCTATACATTAACTTTCAATAATATATCTACTCCAAATATTTATCCATCATTCCTTGTAATTTATTTATTTATTTATTTATTTATTCATTCATTCATTCATTCATTCATTCATTCATTCATTCATTCATTCATTCATTCATTCATTCATTCATTTATTTATTTATTTATTTATTTATTTATTTATTTATTTATTTATTTATTTATTTATAATGAACATTTTCTGTCCACCTGCTGTTTGAACTTTGAGCAAAGGCATAGCAAACTTTCTCCAATAAGCCAGTTCTTATAAAATATTTACATTTTCAACGGTGTTGATTGTCAATGAAATGTGTGTGCGACTCAAGATCCTCCCACCAGTGGTGGCGCCAGCGGGAGGGGGAGGAGGGTAGTGAATTATTCCCCCTGTCGGACAGGCCTGGACCCTCGTCGTTTTTATCAAAAATTTAAAAAATACTAATTTCCCTATCGAAATAACGTTATTTTGATTGACAATCTCTAATATTGTGGTCTAAAAGCACAATTGGACCATACTAAGCAATCGAAACTCTAACCGTGAATCCTACCAGAGGTTTTATTTATTCCAGGACCCGGACTGAGGTCTAGTCGACCCCCTTGGCTTGGACCAGCCCCACGGACATGTGGGACCCCCTTGTAGACAAATTTCCTAAGCCACCGCTGCAACCCGCGTATTATGTTTTTGCCCAGTAGTAGTGTAAATGCCAATTTCCTATTTTTTCGCACCTGCGTTACACCTGGTGTTTCCTCAGACCCGTATCCTGGGTAGGAAGGGGTGCGTGCGATTTTAGTGAATTAATTACCTGATGTGTTAGTGTCAAAGCTTAATGTATACCTACACTATTTGTAATGTGAGAGTTACATAATGATTAAAGGTGTACAGTAATTTTTTTGTAGACGATTTTTCTCTATAGATTATTAAATATAGTAATGATATTAATAATTAGTCAATAGTGTTATTTTGTAATAATAATGATATTGACAATAAATTATTTATGAAAATAATAATAATAATAATAATAGTAATAATAATAATAATAATAGGATGATGATGATGATGATGATGACGATGATGATGATGACGATGATGATGATGATGATGATGATGATGATGATGATGATGATGATGATGATGATGATGATGATGATGATGATGATGATGATGATGATGATGATGATGATGATGATGGCAATGCTGATAATAATGTAGTACCTTTTTACTTTTTTGTACAGAAAAGACTCGTGATTGTACTGCAAAATTAATTTGCGATAAGGTGTCCCCAAAATGTGAATCGGACACACAAGACAACTGCTCAACATGCTGTGATAGTGATGACTGCAACTCAGTTGGCATCGCTAGCTTCAATACATTGACCATGATCACTGTTTTGCTCCTCAGTCTCTTGTTCATGAAGCAGTAGCAATTATAGCAGGCCTAGAGACATCCTCACTTTTTTACCTATTCGTACCTGCTGAAATTACATAATTTCACAGGCCTACCGTACTCGTATTACCGTTTTTAGAGTGTTAGCTATAGAAATAAACATTGGATGTCTTTAAAATGGACTTTCAAACCATTTTTTATTGTTTTTATATAAGTTTTTTACTCAGTAGTTTTTATAAATGCCAATACTGTAGTAAAATACAGAGCTGGGGCACAGTATGCAACACGCTAGCTGGCCAGTAAATAATGCTTTTATCAAAATGACAAGGGTATCTGTTAAGGCGTGTGCCATTGTTTTTTAAGCTTAAAATTCTTTATATTTATAAATTACATGAATTATATGTTCTTAAATTTCTTTTTGATATTTATCACGGAAGAACATCCCATTCTACTAGCGATTACTTTCAAAATATCAATCACTCATATAATACTGGATTTAACAATACTATTAATTTTTCCTTGCCCAAACCTCGTATCAGTTCAGGCCAACACAGAATTTCATTTTATGGTGTTAAATTATGGAATGGTCTCTCCTTAGTTACTAGAAATATTACTTATAGAAATCATTTTATTGCAGCAGTTAAAGAAAAATTATTTTTAAATATTATTTCAGATCCACTTAATTCAACTTATCACATATATACATAAATTTTAATTTTATAATTAATTTGCTTCCGTTATTGTTCGTCCAAATTGATTTATTCAACTTATTGTAAATCTAGAATATTTGGTTTGTATTGTTTTTCATCAAGGAGGTGTTAAGCTTTGATTAGTTTCATTTAACTATAACTTATCACCTTTTGTCAATTATGTTATTATTATAAATATTGTTGTTGACAATAAAGTTGAACTTATAATGTAAGTTAATGGTTAGCTGGTTTGATAGACACACTGCATTTTGAATAATTCTGTAGTATTAGTATTCCCATGTACTTATGCAAATATGTAATCTGACATATAATAAATATTGTTAGAATCATTACGGCCGAGATTCGCCTGTTTCTTTCATCACCGCATTAAGTTATTACCCATGATTATACACCACACACCATTGACCTCAACTTCACCGCATTACGCAAACAAAACGGTAGACTTCTATGTACTCCGTGCTTAGACAGATGGAAATGCTTCTCATTGATACATATTCAATATAATAAACTACTGTGTTTTACAAAGCTTCTGTTTTAGGCCTATGTAATTGATTTGAGTTATAAATAATCATGTATATGAAAGATACTTTGTACAAAATATGAATTTTACTGATAACTAAGTGAGATATAGGCCTAACCACAAGAATTTAATACTTAATATAATCTGGAGGCCCTTCTAATGAGTTGATTAACCCACTGCTGCCAAAAAACAAATAAATATATAAAGCAACAGCACTACGTGTTTGAATAACTATGTATGTATAAGATGTAATTTCACATTTAATTAATTCATATGATACTCAAAGTAGGCAGCGACGGAACGACGAATCACGGAGCCCGGAGCTAGAAAATGTTGAGGACCCCATGCATTCGACTCGGATTAAGTGTTCACGAAAGTGGCCAAAGAGTTTCCTCACATCCGTAACCAGTTATTTTGATTGGTATTAGATATGTATGAATTCTAATAGCCCTTTCTTTGATATTTCTGAATATTTAAATTTTAGCTGTGGAACACCTTTTGGTAGGAAATTGATAATTAAAAAAAAAAGAGTTGTGATGCGATTCCAAATAGGAATTACATTGTTTTAATTTGTAGTTTTTGGTGTCTTCTACTGGACCGTAACGCCTTGGCTGTGTTAGAAGCGTGTCGTGTATTAATAAGTGCAATGGCACTCCATGGTTCTTTTTTTTTTTTTTTTTTTTTTTTTTTTTTTTTTTTTGACTGGGAGGAGGGGCGAGGGCTTCGATCCCCGAGAGCCTATAGGCGTTACGCCACTGAAAGTAGGCCTATATGATGTAGACCCTACATTGCATTTGATAAGTAATTCGTTGGTATTCTGGTCCCAGTTTAATTGATTTAAGTAATAATACATAAACAATGACAATAAGCAAAACTAGAGATCTAGATCTGTAATTACATTCCTTTCAAATCAATTATAATACGTAATAATAATATTATTAGTAGACTGTAAAATCGATTAAATAAGCCTTTGAAACCCCTCAATTGTGATAATTTTCGTGGCCTCGCCCCTGGCACTTTCTCCCCATGGACAATTTTCGAAATACTTCGTGCGACGACCGGGAAATCGGGCCCCCACGTCGGGCAAATGCTAGCGCCACCGTTGCATACCAGATCTATTTATCTATTTGGTATTGGCATTATGCAGTGTTTTTTCTTTTTAGAATATCTGATCGTAAACCTAATCATAACTGAAAAAACCAAACATTGGTGTACTTCTCGAATACGTATTTAAATAATATTTAACACATCTGTGTTTCAAAAAGCTGATTCGAGTGGCCAAGCGGTAAGACAGGGCCTGGGTTGCGCTGGTTCGAGCCTTTCCTTACCCAGGGTTCGGTTGGGTTTTTTTCGGGGGTGAGGGGGTCCCCCAAAAAAACAGAAGAAAACCACAATTCGTCGGGTACAAAAAGAAATGTGTATTTTCTACATATTACTAGACTATCTATCTATAAAATCGATTAAATAAGCCTCTGAAACCCCTAAAATGTAAGTGATTCGGGGGAATCGCCCCTGGACCACGCCCATACGCGATTCAGCATAATGACGCTGCGAGTTAGCTTTTATCCTACCTACCTAACATTTAAACTAGTTGATTTGAATTTTATAATTATAATAATTACATAAATAAAGTAATGAAACTTTTATGAAGTAATATATACCCATTTTGCATTCAATGGTGAATAGAAAATTGACACCAAAGACTGCTAAGAGTAATGGATTTTAACATGGAAACGATCTGTTTGGAATGCCCACACATATGCAATGACTTTGACCTTAGGTCAATTCATATGACAATGATCTCTGCATGACTTACATCATTATGTTAATTTTGATATTGATGAATCATAAATGAAAGGCAACAGTGATATTTAGCTTGGTACTTATATAAACGTCTTTCCTGAAGTCTAGTGATGAATCCGATATTTTTATGACGTGTGTACTGTACCTTTATTTTTAGAACAAATTGATAAATGCTCTTCTTTAACATTAATTATATATTATATATAATATATATATATATATATATGTGTGTGTGTATGTATGTATGTATATATACTATATAATATATATATATATATATTATTATTATTTATTATATATTACACTATATATAATATAATAATATATTATTATTATATTATATTAATATTTATCGCAGTAAACCTTATCGTATACTATATATATATATATATATATATATATATTATTATTATTATTATTATTATTATTATTATTATTAGTTTTATTTGTACTACTGTGTATTATTTTTAGTATATATTTTTGTTTTTGTATTCTTCACGTTAACTATATTTATGTATTCGTTTGATGTTTGTGTTCCCCCTGTAAGTGGCGAATTTTATGTTTGCTGTTAGCTGGGATAATAAATAAATAAAATAAATAAATAAAATAAAATAA